ACATAACATTTCTTGACTTGAATTCTACACTTTTAACAACATGTTCTTACATTTTATTTGCCTTTTAATTGCTTCCCCACATTGTCTAGAAGATGAAACATCAACATAAACAACATAAAATATATCAACATACTGTAAACATTGAAGTCTTTTTTGTAAACAGTCCCCTCTCTCTTAGTGTTTCTTAAGTTGTATTTATAGTTTTGTTTTGTTACCTGCATGCAAAACTCTGCACTAGTCTACATGAAACATGATCTACCAGGAGTTTGCTCAGTCTTGAATTTTATCTAAATCTTTCTGAATTTAGTTTTCTACCTCTATGGTATTTGGCAGTCCTCCAGACCTTACCCTGGTGACACTCTGATTGTATACCACTGCTCAAGTGGTCACATTGGGAATCCCAGTCTCAGTCAGCTAGTGATGTGATTCAGGTTTGAACTACAACCTTGGCATTATAGAGCCCAAACTGCTTTGATTCAGCTATTTTGTTTTGCTTAGGTGCCATGCTATAATGTAATGTGTACAGTACTTCTGGACTCAGGGTTATAGCCACCAACCCATACACAGCTCTGAATGCTCATATTACACAACTTAAAATAACATTGCACCCTCTGTACTGCCATGGGAATATGCATGATCCTAGAGACTAGATTAGGGGAGTGTTTCCACTATATCAGCATCATTTTAAACACAGTAAGCATTGTTAAACCAGTTATCACAGGATTGACCAAGTTACCAGTTTCCATGGCTCATATATGCAAAGCATTTTTCTGAAATGTATTTTTGGAAAAACATGTTGGAAAAAAAACATTGCAAGAAGTGCTTTTTTCATGTTTCGTTTTTTTGAATGAAGAAAATTCGCAATGCACCGATGGGGACACCTCCCTTCACAAAGTTATGAGGGGAACTCCTACACCTCAAGACACTTTGTGGCAAAGCTGTTGTCATTGTTCAACACCGACTGACAAAAGTCAATCTGAGTGATCTTGGATTCGAAAACCACCACAGACACATTTCTGAGCTCTCTGACTGCACAGCACACATGAGCAACTATGCCAAAACCCTGGTCATTACATGCAGGGCATTCAAAATCCCTTCAGAGACCAGAGGAGTGCTGTCTGCTTAAAAGACTCATTTTATACCTTGAACTGTTAAACTTGCAAGGACATTGAAGCTGCAGCTCCCCCATCCTTTCTCTATGGCAGCAATGAAATGTCAAGTTTAATTAATGATAGCTGATCTCAAAATATAATTATGACAATATGTCAGTATCTTTTTGCTTTAAGCCTGACATTTATGTATATTTTTTAATACAAAGTCCATTCTTATTTAAAGTCTGCAGAAATTAATTTGAAAATGCATGTCTAAACTTCATGAAATGCCTCAAGTGTGACATATTGGAAGCCCTCAAACCTGTCCTATTAGAAAGCAAACAATTACACATTGGACTAAATTCTTTATTTTACAGATCTTATAGCTGATGCATTTTGTGAAAATCTCTCAAAAAATGACAGTAGTTTTTCAGTCATTGTTTCTCTCATTTCATATGTTGAGGGGATGAATGAAGGGAGGGGTTCATTTAGAAGATAGCTTTTTTAGGCATTGTGTGTTCATTGCAAAAAAACAAATTCTTACATTTCTAATTGATATTAATGTTCACCCAATCAAAAGAAGCCATGGTCCTAGATATGTAATGTGTAATGTGCCTGATGATTTCAAGAGACCCTATTTCTGCTAAATGAAACAATAAGTCAATAAGTCTTCTAGAATTCGTAAAAGGATAATTTCTTATGTTTATAAAATAAATAAAACAAAATTTGAGTTTAATACAGCTAAGTTAACATATCAAATCAACCATTTATACAAGAAGCTAAATAGAAGCAGTTTCCATTGGTGTGTAAAGCACAGTAAAGGAGGGCAGTAACAGATTCAATTCTGCATTCTTCTCATGAAGCTGAATTAATTAATTCAATTTTTATATTGATATTCTTTCCCTGCTACAGTATTTGTAAGTGTCAAGTTGAGGCAGATACACAGACAGGAAAGACTAACAACCCATATAGAATGTATTGTAGGCATTTTGATTTTTCGGATTTTAATAATTATAGTGTTCTTGGAATGACTACATTTGGGAGTCAAGTA